GTGTTTCCAGATTGCAGGGCGGCGACCCGCTGATCGACGTGGCGCTGGCGCTGGAGGCGGCCGCACGCTCCGACGAATACTTTTGTGCAGCGCAGGCTCTACCCCCACGTGGACTTCTTCTCAGGTAAGTGGGTGGGGGGGTGGGGCTGGGGCTGGGGCTGGAGCTGGGGCTAGGCGGGCCGCGAGGGCGAGGGGCGCGGGTGGGGCGGCTGCTCCCAGGCTGCCCCTGCTCCTCGCACACCGCCGCCCGCTCCCTGCCCCACCCCCCCGCCTGCCCCGCAGGCCTGGTGTACCGCGCCATGGGCTTCCCCCCCCAGTTCTTCACCGTGCTCTTTGCCATCCCGCGCATCGCCGGCTACCTGGCGCACTGGCGCGAGACGCTGGCGGACCCAGACACCAAGATTGTGCGGCCGCAGCAGGACTACAGGGTGAGGGTGGTGGGGTGGGGTGGGGTGGGGGTGGGGTGGTGCTCGTTCAGCAGCAGAGGAGATGTGTGTGTGTGTGTGTGTGTGAGAGAGAGACAGGGGGCCCCTCGCTTACGGCCTCGCCTGGCGCAGCCGCTCTGTGCATGCCCGACGCGCTGCTGGCATGCTGGCTGCAGGGCGAGTGGCTACGCGGCTACCAGACCATGGCGGAGCGGCCGCACAAGCTGCCGCCAGGCACAGGTGCGTGTGGGCCGCGCGTGCCCGCCCCTGCTCAGATCCCGGGCTGGATTCGCCCTGACCTGTCTGCCGCTGGCGCCGGCTGCTGCAGACGAGCTGGGGCCGGTGCCGCCTTCCAACGCCTATGTTCGCCGTGTCAGCGGCACACACTGGTAGGCCCCACAGAGATGGAGAGACCTGCCCAGGTCCCTGATTTTTGGAGAGCTTAGCGCCAAGGCCCCTGCGGCCCAGCCTTTGTCGGCGATTTTGATAGAGCTGCCCGTTTTTTCCTGCTAGCCCATGCGTGTACCTTAGTGTATCCCCGCCCGCCCCCTAGCGCCCGCCCCTCTCTTTTCCATGGAGGTCAACAACAAGTGTAGAGTACAGATGGCCCGGTCAGAGGCAGGTGTCAATCAATCAGCACAGCATGCGGTGGGCAGGGTGGAAAACTTGGCGCAATGCGAAATGAAATGGCTCGACCCAGCCGGGCCCCGCGGCCTCGCCACGGCGCGGCCGTCGCCGCGGCGGCCCGTCAGTAGGTGGTGCTGATGCGGCGGTAGTGCACCGCGCTCTGCGCCGCCGCGTCCAGCACCTTGCCGTTGGACACAGAGGCGTACACGACATAGTGGTCTCCTGCCTCCATGCGGCTCGCCACCGTGCACTCCACGTACGCAGCTGCGGCAAGAGGGGGGGCGGGGGCGCCAGGGGAGCGGGCGGGTGGGCAGCCAGGGCAGCCGGGCAGGCAGCTGCGCCTCCTCTTACAGGCCCGGCCACCAGCAGGGGGCAGCGCCCCGCAAGCCACACGCCACCACGTGAACACCCGTCACAGCCCAGCAGCCCGGCAGGTGCCCCACCTGCGGTGGGGATGATGGCCGCGCCTGTGCCCTCAGCCACCTCCACCTCCATGCCCGCCAGCCGGTCCTCGGCGGGCTTGAAGGGCTTGAGCAGCTGCTTCATCACCGCCCGCTCCTTGCCCTCTGCCAGGATGTTGAGGTTGAAGGAGGCGCCGATGGGCAGCATCGACTCCATGGCTCGGTCCCGCTTCACCGCAATCGTGAGGCCGGGGGGGTCAAAGGAGGCCTGCAGCCGGGGGGGGGGGGGGGGTGGGGGTTGGAAAGCACAGGCAGGCAGGCAGGCAGGCAGGCAGGCAGGCAGGCAAGAAGGAACCGCACACGTCAGGCACGGGGCTGGCAAGAGGCGTGGTGTGTGTGTGTGCCAGGGGCTGCAGCCAGCCCAACCCAGGCCGGCGGCAGCCCGGGAGGGGTGCCGGCACCATGGGAGCGTGCGCCCACACGCACCTGGCTGACCCAGCTGGCCAGCATGGCGCCCTGAGCATCGCCGTCCTTGGCGGTGACCACGCACAGCGAGCCCACCACGCGCCCCAGAGCCAGAGCCTTGCCAGACGCCATTTCCGCCACTGCGGGGTAGGTGGGGGCGGGGCGGGGCGGGGCGGGGGGTCAAGCCGCAGACCCAAACAAACGCGTGCAGCGTGCGTGCGCACCGCTCGAAGGGCAGCGGGAGCAGAGGCGGCGGCAGTGGGGGCAAGCGTGCACAGGCTGCACGTGGCGGCTGCACACAGGTAAGCACAGGCACAGGCACAGGCCGCGGCCGCATAGTGCGCCGCGCCGCGCCGCGCCGCCGCCGCACCCGACAGCTTGTCTGCCGCCACGCGGTCGCGCCGCTTCTGTGCCCGCTTGATCTCCTGCGCCATGTCCAGCCCGCTCTCCTCGCACAGCTGCAGCGTCTGCTGGGTGGGCTTGAACTTGCAGCGCACCGGGTCAAACACAAAGCGGAAGCCGGCATCCTGCGGTGAAGGGGAAGCGGGCGGGCGGGGGAGGGAGGGCAGGCTGGCAACTGGGGCTGGCTGGAGCCGCATTCGTTGGCCGCACCCGCCTCCCCCACAGGCCCCAGCGCCCGCTGGCGTGGCAGCAGCTGGAGGGCCGCCGCCCACGGCCACAGGGCCTGCTGGCACACCCGCGCTGGCCACCCCCGGCCGCCCCGGGAAGCCCCTCACCTTGAGCCGCTGCTCCATCTTGTCCACCGCCTCCCCTGACCACCCAAAGCTGCCAAACACGGAGCACGGCACGCGCTTGGCGTTGTTGTTGCGCAGGATGGTGCCCAGCGCGGTCTGGACCTGCGGGGGTGGGGTGGGGTGGGGTGGGGTGCGTGCAAGCAAGCAGATGAAGGGGGCCGACGGGGCAGAGCGGAGCAGGCAGGGTGATTGGCAGGTGGGCAGGCGGAGCACAGGCCGGGCCGGCTGGCAAGTGACCCTGCACCCCCCCCTGCCCGCTCCCGAAACGAGGCGCGGGCGTGGGCCCTGCCGGCCGCGCACCTGTGTGGGCATGTGCCCCCCCAGCGTGGGGCTGCCCAGCACAAAGCCGGAGCAGCGGTCCAGCGCCGCCTCCAGCTCATCCTGCCCCGCCTGCTCCAGGTTGAGCGTCTCCACGCCCACTGCGCGCGGGCGGCACGGGGCGGGGCGCGGTGGGCGGCGTGCAACGCAGGCGGCCGCACTCGCGCTGCCCTTCTGGAGCAAGGGCTGCAGGCAGCGGGTCCCCTGCCCTGCCATTCCCACAGGTGCAGGGCCCCGCCGCGCCCGCCTTGCTCCCGCTCCACCCCCCTGGCTGCCCCACCCACCCACCTCCCGCCTTGGTGATGCCGCGGCTGATGGCCTGCGCCAGGCTGGCGGTGTTGCCATAGGCTGAGGCGTAGAGCACCGCCACCGCCGCCTGGCCCGCCGCCTCCACCTGCGCCGCCGTCCAGTCGGCGTACCTCCCCACCAGCTCCGTCAGGCACTGTCGCACCACGGGGCCGTGCATGGGCGCCACGGCGGCCACCGCCAGAGGCTCCGCCACGCCGTCGTCCGCGCCCAGCGTCAGCTCATGAACCAGCGCCGTGAGGCGGCGCAGCGGGGCCAGCACCTGCGCCAGCCCGCCAGCGGCCTCTGGGGAGCGCATGGCGTTGATGTTGAGGCGGTCGAGGGCGGTGGCCACCTGGCGCGCCACCGGGGCCAGCATGCAGTCAAAGTAGTTGCGCCAGTCGGCGGCGTACGCGTCCCAGCCGCCGCCGTCGGCCGCGGCGCCCGCCCCCGCCAGCGAGGTGTGGGCGGAGAAGAAGTTGCTGCTGAACAGGATGTTGTCTGCAGGGGGTGGGGGGTGGTGGGGGGTGGGGAGGAGG